AGCCATCACAGGCTTTGACCGACCCGTTAGCTTTGCTTTGTGTGTCAAGACTGTCAACAACAAGAATAATAATAATAATAATAATAATAATATTAATATAATTTAAATTATTATTATTATTATTATTATTTGTCTTTTGTCACGCCATATAGAATACGAAAAATCAATTTTTCTTCTCCAACGTGAAACCACACATTTGATTGAATGGTTTCAGCAAAATAACTTAAAAATAACAACACAAAGACACGTCTGGTGTGTTTCCGGAATCCGTTAAAAGTTGTTATCCCAGATACGCCACTATTTTTACATTCATCAATTTGTCCCTCGTGTAAATGCACTCCAGTGGGTTATGCGGACCATGTGAAATATCTAGGTATTGAATTCGATAGTGACCTTTCATGGAATGCGCACATGGGAACTGTATGTAAAAAGCTTAGACGTGTTTCCTGTCTATTTTATAATATGAGATCACTTGTTCCACAATATATTAAAAAGATGGTCATTAATGCTTTGGCATACAGTGTTCTTCGCTATGGAATAACCATTTATGGTGGCTGTTCTACGTTATGGCAAAAGAAAATTGACAGTATTTTAACTGGAATGCTTAGAGGTATTATATACGGCACTGATACCGAAACAGAACAAGAAAAAATTGATCATATTAATCTTCCATTATGTCATGCTTTGTTCACTGGGACGGTTGTTTTAAGACACTTTTGGGATGACAGATTTAAAGTTCACCACATTGCACCTCGGGCACTCAGACATACCACTCGTTTTGAGGTGCCGAGAATGTCAACGAGGTATGCAAGAAGGCAACGAATATTTTATGTACCGGACATTTTCAACAGTCTCCCTGAAAGAGTGTTGGACCTGGATTCGAAAAAAAAGTTGAAACAAGCCCTACGTGACCTATTTTAAATCAAGTGTGCCTGCACGAACCAGATTCATCTTCTGGGCGTCTTAAACTGTGCTCTAAAAATTTTTTTCTCAGGCCAGTGATGTGATCTTTATTACAACCAAGGTACTGTGGCAACTTGACATGATCTGTTCTTCATTTTTTAATATTTTTATGAATGTGTGTGTGTTCTTCATGTAATGTGGCTATCCACATACCAACAACTCTGGACACTCCCTACTGAAAATAAGTCTAAAGGGCCCTTCAAAACTTTTTAAAGGGTTTGAGGGGCCTTCAAGAATTTTTAACAGGTTTGACGTACCCCTTAAAGGAGTCTAAAGGGCCCTACAAAACGTTTTGATGGGTTTGACATACCCTTTGAGAAAGTCTAAAGGGCCCGTCAAAACCTTTTGAAAGGTCTAAGGGGGACCACAAAGATTTCTTAAAAGGTTTAAAGGACCCTTTGAGATTCCTGAATGCGTTCTGGGCCACGTCAGATTCTTTCTTAAAGGGTTTGAAATGCCCTTTAGAAAGTTCTAAGATGTTTTTTTTAAAATGCCTGCGGGGCCTTCAAACACACCCGTCAAACAATTACAAGCAACTCACAGAAGTTTGTTAAAGTAAGACAAACTGCAGCCTGCCAGTTGTATTTGTATGCAATTTCTAATTCAACATCTTTAGTGCCTAAAATACTAAGCAAAAATTATGATTTGCGTGTCTATCTTGCAGTAACAAAAACTAATCCAGTCAAGTAACAATGTAAGTAGTCAATTATCGTTTACAACCAGGAATTGTAACAATTTACTTTTAATGTCAATTTGTAATTCACTACATAGTTGAAGTAATAGGCACAAGTCTGATTCAAGGTGTGTGCATATGTCAGTCAGTTTTATTTAACGAGTTTAACAAAATCAAGGTATATAAAATGCACAGACACATTCACTGAAAAACTTCAAGGAAACTGAATAACCGTAGCAATATAAGCGCACGCTGGTTGTCATGCTGTAAGCTGTTGAAGAAGTAGAGGTGGAAGAAGAGCGGAGAGGCTCGGGCTGGAAGAGCTGGCGGCAAGGACTATTTGGCTGCGATCCGAACAAGCGACCGGCTGTGCTTGGCCATGCTCCGAGCAGGCACCGGCGGGCTGAACCACAGTTTCGACGGTGAGCTGACCAATTCCCGAAGCGACGAACTTCGACGGTGAGCTGACCAATTCCCGAGGCGACGGACTTTGACGGTGAGCTGACCAATTCCCGAAGCGCGGACCTCGACGGTGAGCTGACCAATTCCCGAGGCGACGAACTTCGACGGTGAGCTGACCAATTCCCGAAGCGACGGACTTCGACGGTGAGCTAACCAATTCCCGAGGCGACGAACTTCGACGGTGAGCTGACCAATTCCCGAAGCGACGGACGTCGACGGTGAGCTGACCAATTCCCGAAGCGACGGACTTCGACAGTAAACTGACCAGGTGCGGAAGTGACGACCTTCGAATATCGACAAAGAACCTGAAGGCTGAGGTCAACTTCAAACCTACCGTCAACGGGACTGATTGTGAGATGAACTTCTTTATTGCAACTGTAAAACAAATTGGGTTGTGTGTGTGTTAATAGAGCCTAGAACTTGGTCTGCCTCACAGGGGCGACGAGTCCCCCGGCTGTAGATTAAAAATTTAACCAGTGCGGTACAACCGCTAGCCTGGGGTCTTTAACGTGCATCACGCAGTAGTGATACACGACCGCACGCCGGTACGATGCTCATCCGGATCGAAACGGGCCGGGGTGGGGCTCGAACCCAGGATCCCTGGGATCTTGCAACTGTGCATTTGTAATTAGTCGTGCTCTCTGATAAAGAGCGGCAATACTTAAAGCGAGGAGGGCAAATCAGTGACAATGTTGTATTGAAAACGTGATATGTATTTATTTTTTTCCTTCATTTATTTGGTATGGCATGTGTGGTATTTATATTGAATGCTAACATAAATCTTTAGATGAGAGTCAGTGTTGTGTCCTATCGGTGACTTTTCACTTTGTCCTTGTCTTTGCAGTGTTTTGTTTTTAATTATGTCTGTATACCAAATAGCCCAAACTTCTGTGATAATCACTTCAATGTTCCTTTAATGGTAATTAATTCATGTGATACAGCAGTCCTGAATATTTTAACAGAGCTTGGTAACCAATATGCAGGTCGTGAATATTGATTGAAGATAATTTAGTCTTTTGTACTTTGCATGTTAACTTGTTTTTTAGTGAGATTCCAGAATGACAGACTAGGTTTTTATTGTTTTTAAAAAGATGGTGCTATCGTGAAGTGTGATATCCATTATTTTAGCAAACCAGTGCTGAATGATGCCTTCTCATTGCAGCATAGTAGTGAATGTGCTGAAAATAGTGTGTTTCTGAACATGTGGCACTGAACCAAACAGAAATTTAAAGTGTAGGAGTTCCGAGTTCTTACCTACATCATAATTACCTAGGTCATCGTCGTGCAGCATCTGCCACTAAATCTCTGTGTTTATCTCGACTTGCTGTAACAATTCGTTAGAATATGATCACGTTTTATGTTGTGTGACCTACAACACAACTACAAATGTTTGTTCTGTGTATAACATTCAGATGAAATTTTGCTTTCATCCTACGCTGAAATCTTGTCTTGATCAATTGTTTGAATTCATCTGGGCCTGCCACGCAGCTTTTTTAGAGCTGCATTCCTGGCTCGAGAGGTTTGTGAACACCTATACTCCATTTCATACTTGGTACGCAATGCTGTCAAGGCTACTGGCACGAGCATGTGACTATATGATGAGCTTTGTCCACGCCTTTGCACTTGATGAAGCCACGTGCGCGTGTTAGTAGCCTTGACAGTGTTTTACACTTATTATGAAACGAAGTACAGAGAATTCAATTTCTGAGGGGCTAATGGGTCTAAAGGGTTGATAGGTCTAAAGGGTTGATGGATCTAAAGGGTTTATGGATGTAAAGTGTTTGTGGGTCTAAAGGGTTTATGTGTCTAAAGGATTGACGGGTCTAAAGGGTTGTCGGGTCTAAAGGGTTGACGGGTCTAAAGGGTTGACGGGTCTAAAGGGTTGACTGGTCTAAAGGGTTTGAAGGGCTAAGAGGGTCCCATAACACATCAAGTCTGATGGGTTATTTTCAATAGGGCTAACTTTACGAATGCTTCAATGTTATTTTTCTTAAAATGTGTGTGTGTGTGTGTTTTATGTTCTGATGCACTTTTCACAGTGTTGAAATTAATTGATTTATAACTTTAATACTGGTGGTTTAGCCAAACAAGCCACTTCTGGCTTCGGCAGACCCGAATCATACTTTGTCACATCCGAAAAAAAAATATTATTATTATTATTATTATTATCATTATTATTATTATTATTATTATTATTATTATACACCTCCACCAATCTTCCGTAATAGTAAGAAATTTGCTGGCGCTGGCCATGAGGGGCTATGCGGGAACCCCCATCAGTGATACTAGTACTCCGTTTCACCTTATGTTGTATACCGCAGCGACGGTTAGAGGCACGAGCTCATAGCGTTGGCAGCTGCCCTTAGTGCACGAGAAGGCCCTAGAGCAAGGAGCTCGCGCTTCTAGCCTTTCCTGCGGTACATCATAATTAAGGTGAAATAGAGTAGGTGACTTATTTGCACAGAAATAAGTGCGTATTTGCGGTGTGCCACGCAAAGCAGAGAGGTAAAAACCCTTACGCGAAATGCGCCTGCTTTCCCACCGCCGAGTACGTCAAGTAAACAAGGTGAAAGCTTAGAATGAAGTATAACTGACATAAACAAGCTCAGCTGAACTCAACGATTTTTAGCGATTTACAGTGACAGTTGGCGCCGCCGTGTAACTCTGGCCGATCGCGATTGAGTCAACTGTCGTTGGCATAATACCAGTTAAGAGCGCAAGTGTAACTAAGGTTTTAAGCCTATAAGACATTGCTCCTAAGAACAGTTTCAGTATTAACTAGACGGGTAATTCCTCTATTGGACAACAACCGAGTGAAAGCCGTCAAGCGAGGTTATTTTCTGAAGTTCCAATAACCTTAGAGGAAAGGAGCTGCGCGTCGTTACCTATTTGCGATGCTCACCTTCCGGTTCTGTTGTTGGTGGCTCTGACCCAGGAACAGTGACAGCCGGCACGGTCACGGAAACCCCATCCTTTGTCTCAGTCGTTGGTTTCTTCTCGGTATCTTTTTCCTGCCCAAAAGGAATCATGTTTGTGCTTTTCTGCTTCTTTTTTTTCTAGAATTCTACCTTGGTAGCTCCAAATACTGTCTACACTTCCCAAGTCTAAAGGCTATCATATACCCGCAAGTTATCCGCTATTTGCTGAACGCTCATAATGTTGCCGGCTCGATGCAGTTGGGTTTTTCGTTTCGCACTAGTATCCACTCCAATGGTATGCATGTAATTTCTGCTCCTCTGTTTGACATTTTCACGTCCAGGCCGTGGTATTTCGTGGTGTACATTCTGACAGGCGCGAGCTCCCCATTTTTAAACGTCATGTCCTTGCCACTGGGTGGTGTCGTTCGTTTGTTGGTCCGTTTGTTCTCGTAAAAAACAGTCTTTAACTTTTAATTTTTTACAAGTGACACATGGGTCTATTACACACAAAAGATTGGATAATATCCTCCTAAAAACAAAATTTTCATCAAATCTATACCTTGATGGAGGTTCAAAATGGGAAACGTTTAGAGTGCGAACGCAGATAAAGCGTACAGCTTCAGAAGATTCTCATACCGTGTGTCGTAAGCCAGTCCGTGTTATGACTTCCGTCGACAATGAATGCGTCCTCGTAAAGGCAGAAAGTTACGTCAAATATAAAAATGATTACTGCGCCCTGAAACCAATATTTGTCTCAATATTGCCTCGTTTACTCATGGTTCTGAGTTTCCCAGTACCTTTGCAGATTTCACTGGTCTCATGGGCAAGCCGAAAAAGGCAGGTCAAAGAAGTTTCTCACTTACTTAACATCCCTCGTCTTTAGTTTAAAAACAAAAAGATAAGAATTGTCTAACCAAGGTCAGAGAGCTGTTGACTGCCGTCTCTGGAGGCGTATACCCCAAGTTTCCTTTTTTATGGTGATGTCTGATAGGTGATCCCCCAGGCTTCAGTTTTATTTGAGTTCATGTCTGTAAGCGCAACTAAATTGATAAACACGAACTGAAGGTGTTTTCAACAAAATAGAATTTAATTTAAAAATTCTGTTTAGCATCGTGTTCCTCGTTCCATACTGAATATTACACTTTATAGGTCGGTGTATAAAAGCCGTGAAAGTCACACTAATGCGGTCTGTATATGTGAGTTATATGGCCAGAGAGTTACATACTGTAGGGTGCTAATCGTCCCAATCACTAGGAAAAGAGACTGAACTGTGTTATAATTCTTTTTTAATAAAGAATTATATGAAACCTATGGTTCCAATCAGAAATTTGCTGAGCGTCATCGAAATCTTCTAAATCAGTAAATTAACTTGGAGTACTTCGGAAGCAGGGTAGTGCGAACAGACGCAAGGCTGGCGGTGCGTGGATGATAAGAGACAGAAAGATCACGCGTCTTTGCACTGGCAGCCTATTGTGATAATCACACCACAAGGCTTCTCACATGCTTCATTGGTTTTCTCAAAAAAATTAGTAGTCTTCAATTGCGCTCAGCAAGTTTGCAATTGAAACTAAACGTTTGCCTTAACAAATTAAAATGATAATTAACAAACTTTTAAAAGGTAGCCAACGTAACGTGATACATAGCGACCTGTATTATGTCCACCTGGACATATAAATATCCTGAGCAAACCGGCATTGTCTAGCATGGATTTTTTTTAAACAGTTTGCGAAGAATAAAGATATCCTGTATATACCGGAAGCGTAGTACGAACGAAGTTTTCATGTGTATATCCCAATAAATACACTAAACTCTTATCACACTCTGTTTCACCTTACGTCCAATTGTATTCAACGCTACGATGCGATAGAGCCACTCAAGCCGAGCTAAAAGTGCACGGTCATGGCGCTCGTCGTCATTGTGCGTTTACTATTTAAACTAATAACGAACGAACAGGCGCAGGATCATGGCACATTTAATGTGCGTGATCATGCGCTCCATGAAGATATACATTTGGCGCCGCTTGATTGTCTGCATCGGATCGAAGCCTTGGCTGCGTACAGAGTTCATGGGAAACAAAGAAACATATCTTGAAAAGAGAAGCGCAAGTTTCGGGTCATTGATATTCGAGATTTGTCTCACCCTTCGAAGCTGCAGTTTGAGGTCGTTGTTTGATTCTCTGAGCGAACCCGTGAGTGCCACCAGATAGTAGATTATCAGTCTGGTCCGATGAAACATAACAAATCAAAGCGTCAAAAGTGCAAAACACGTTTGTTCGTAAACACAAATCTAATAATGCCCTTTCGATAAGGTGAAACTACTACGTACATGAGTAGCAATATGAGCGGAATTACGACGCCGGGAGATGTGAGGTATTCAATAATCTGGTTCATCCACGTTGGAAGGGTGTTATCCAAATAAGTTGTGAAGACCCTGTAGGCGCGAAAGTATCCGCTGTCCGAAAGAAAAAAATAATTCAGAAAATCAACGTTGGTCCTGTTGAGAGTATTTACGGTCCTCGCCTACAACGTGTACCAACTCCCTTCACCTCTCCTATCTTAAAGAAACCCTGTGTTTCCATTCCCGCAGACTACGCGGTGAGCCAAACACTGCAATCAAGAGAAAGGGCTCGTTCAAAGACCAGACAGCAAAAATGGTTTCCCCAAAAAAATAAAGCTTGCCATAAAATTGAGCTTGGTGTGAGCACGTGAAAGGTACTGCTCGTCGTCACAATACCTTTTTTTAAGTTCTTGCAGCAATTTGATTAGTGGAACTTCCTTTGTAACTTGCAGCAATCGACCTTCCGAGCGCCTCGTGACAAGGCACAAACGCAGTCATTTTAGAGTAATGAAAAAATGACACATGCTGCTGCATGTTCCCTCCTTCAACTTAATGAGCGAATTCTAACCTTATAAGTGAATTAGCGAAGATGGGTCCTAAACTCTGGTCATAGGCATCGAATACATGTTCCAAACTAGCACGGCCTACCTTGGAGAAAAAAGAAATGGCAAACTACAATAATTTATTGCCTCCTGCCGTTGGATGATTACATAATCCTGGTAATCTAGTCTATTTTAAATATTTGACACATACTCCGGATCGCGTGGATTCAGGAAGGATGGGCAAAACTACAACAGAAATTTCTCCTACATTAAGCGCGATAATCAATGCCGCGATGAAAAAGCAAACGTCAATTTTATTAAATGGCCGTGAATGTGCAAGAAAGTGGCACCATGTGATATGGAAAAGCTGTTTCTATCTACTTGTTTAAAAAAAAAATATCTGTGTGTTCAGGTTGAAAAGTAAACGTTGGCGACGCACTTGAATGGAGAAAATTGTAATGATTTATTTGGAGGCACCCATGCACTACAGCTGCACTAGCTCTATGGCCCCATTCCTTAAAGGGGCCCTCCGGAGCGTTCTGCGATGGTCTATTTATGGCGGTAACTCAATCTACAGGGCCTAAGGATCCTAAAAATTATAAAATTACGGTCATGCGCGGCGGATTTCCCTACTAAAATTGCTATCAAAGTCTGCGGCACGCCCCCCTTTCTGAGATGACCCCGGAAAACGGGAGGGGCATCTCTTTACGCGTCAGCCAATAGCAAGCGAAGGATTCCGGCGTCACTGCGCGTCACCAACGCGGACGACCGCCGACGCGCGGAGGAATCTCTCGAACACGCGCGGACCGTCGTCAAGGAACCCGGACTTTGTGCTCGGCAGTCGTCGTTCGTCGCACCGCACCGTCGCGTTGCTACTGCAATACGCAGTCAGATCCCACAGATAAGAAAGAAAAGTTTGACCCGTTGACATGGAAGGATTGCAAAGCTGGTTTCGGAGTCGGGATCCACGGGAAGAAGAAACACGTGTCCCGCAAATGCACGCCTGCAGACGCCCCGGGAAGCAGACGAGCCGACGCGCCGACGCATCACCCCCTAGCAACAAGCTTGCGGGGAGAAAACATAGTTCGCTGGTTTTGGAGCAATAATTGTGGACTATGTTTCCCGCACCACAATCAGTTTACGTTTTTCTCAAAGTCTAATTTACAACAAGCTTAAAAAGTGTCGCAATAATAACGTTCGCATTCACCGCGAGATGCAGCATTTCCATTGGTCAAGTTTTAGCGATGGGCAGGGAATGGGGGATTGTCTTCCAAGAGAAAATAGTCCCCATATATTTCTTCTGCCATCTGCTTAATAAACGGTTTTGTAATCTAAAACTTTGTATACATATTAACTTGCACCTACTACGCAACATAACAACATAAACAGACGATCGCAGAAAGCTCCGGAGGGCCCCTTTAACTCTGCAGGCTTTGGGTGATTGTCTAAAACCAAATTGATTTGTTTAATAGGTTGCTTTCTTGTATTATTGTAGGTTTCGTAGACGTGTCAAGGTAAACCTAGACAGCGTGAAATGTTCACAAAATGAAATAATAAAACAAATGTTAAACCGAAATCTAAAGCTTTTTCTAATCTTGCACTGATGGTTATGAATTGTTCAATATTAACTTGATTGATTTGGGCTAGAAAAATAATATCGCATAAATACTCTTTGTATATATATACATTTTTCTTATTTGAAGAATGGAAATGTAATTGTTTGGCGCTCTGATAGGTGGATGAATGTATGCGACTGAGCCCTTTAAAACTGACAGCTCCCAGCTTCAGCTAGCCATTATATTTTTTTTTATCAAACGTTAACCACTTAGTACAAATAAAACACTAGAGGTAATACTTTAGTAATACTGCTCAAAATGACAATCCGTGCGACGGAAGCGCTCCTTTACAACCAGGTACGCACGGATAGAGGCGAAAAGAGTAAGTCAATATTTATTTTTAACACGAGTTATGCGACCAGTCAGATAACCTCTTCTTGGTTATCTCTACCATTCCAACGTATATCTTCCCCTCGCTCTCCTTAAGCCACAGTGAGTTTACCAACCCAGTCTTGTTTCCGCCCACTGCGAGGTGCACGCCCTCACAATAAACTACCAAGTCTTCGGCCGTTTCCTTCTCAACTAGGCACATTCCATGCACTGCATGAATCTCCTGATATTTAGCCGCCTAAATATAACTTTGTAAGCTCCTGCCCTCACCTAAATCTGCAATTAGGTCCGTCTAAAATTTTGTTAACGTAGCAGCTTGGGCGAGTTGGTTGCTCATATTAACACACTACAACGCACACTGCAAACGAACACTCACACCGTACACTCACTCCTTACACACGAGAAGGAAAGGAAACTTCAAACGAACCGGGCTGACTGACAACTCGTTTTTATATACTTTTTCTTCTACGTTTGGAACTACCGAATTTCCCGAATCACGCGCACCAGACTCCTAGATGCCTAGAAATAGTTTTTTCTTTTCTTCTTCTGTCAGGTTCAAAGAGTGCATGTGTACTGATACAGGTTTTATAACTCCTGACGATGTGCTCGGCTTCAATCATTTATCTCGTTAATTGATCACTCTGTCTACCTAAAATTGTGCAAGATGGCAGGTAAACCTCGCACCCACAATCACGGTATGCCCAGGTGGCCAAAGTTAGCTCTGGTGCTATTGTTTTTGTGTTCACGGAGCCTATGATTAACGCATCCTCTAGTCTGCCCTCTGTACTAAACAACTCTCTTCAAAAATCTTGGGAGCACTTCATTTCAGCAAGCTTTGATACGCAAATTTGAAGATTAGCTCCTGCCGGATATCCAATCTCTTTATTAACATCGATTGCATACAGCATCCTCAAAAGGAAAAATAAAGGAACTTCTGTCACACCAAGAGCCAGAGATAGAACCACGAGACCAGTCGTTCTTCCCTACATACAGAGGTTCTCGCATGACATAAAAAAAGCGCTAATAAGTTCAACATTGACGTCGTCTTCTCTGCTCCTAATAAGCTTGCCAGTCTGTGCAAACAAGTCAACTGACCATATCTCTACCAAACGGAGAGCTTTACCAAGAAACATCAGAACCGCTTCGTTGAGTGCGCAAAGCAAGTGGTGTATTCATTTCCCCTTTCGTGCGGGAAAAAGTACAGCTAAGGGACCTTTAAAGACAGCGGCGAATCAGTTCGCGATCCTCGGCGCGTGGTAAGTGCTTGCGACCCAAGAGAGCGGGCTGATTCTCCAATTTGCGGAACTTTGCGGAACAGTTGTAATCCCTTTTAATATTCAGAGATATTAGTCATTGTGATCTGTCTCGCAACGTAACTGCGCTGTGTGTTCCTAGGAGCGAAACGCTGTTCCTAAACCAATTTTCAAAATGATTTTTATTCTTTTTTTTGGGGTGTACTTTTCGAAGATAAATCATGTTTTGGAGTCGTGCGAAATTGGTCTCCCAACATAAAGATGTCGCTTTTTTTGTTCGGGTAAAGTTTATTTTCCGAAATACGTGTCCTATCTAGGCATCTTATTTTCTTTTCTTTTTTGGGGGGAATTTGGTGTTTATCTATGTCTTTGCCTATTCATAAATCAAAAGTTTGTTCAAAATACATATTAAAGGCATGTTCGTTTGAGTGAGGTATGAGATAGAAGTGTGAGCCTAATAACGCCTAAAACGTGAGCTTTCAATCTGCACAACTATACCGACACTTGAGCGCGTGATAGGGTTTCTGTAGCCTTTCGGCTCTACCGCCAGCTTGCTAATTATTTTTTTTTTTCACGCCGGGCGTTGACAATTCTTTTTACTGCAATCGGGAAAGTTTAAGATTGTTTTTACGCCTCTGAAACACCTCCAAATAATGATAAGGTGTATGCGCAGAGATGACAATGGAGCATTGGCTGTCATTACCCCCAAAAAACCTGTCTGCTATAACTTTCGATTATCTGCGCGTTGCTTCAGAGACTGCCACTTATCTCTCATACTTATGCCGCCAAGGCAACACCTTACAATATGTCGAGGTGCTTCTAATACTAGCCTCCTAGATTTAGTCGAGCCAAACTGGTTCGATTAGACATGGCGAAAACTGAGGGAAGCTTTCAAAAATTGCGCGCTTAGCAGGAGCACCGTCAAACTGTTGATCACGGCTAATAGAGCCCTTGAAGAAAACCCGGCAACAGTGTGTCTCGGCATGGTAACCATGGCAACAGCGAGGCGGTCAGCAGCTGCGTGACATGGTGAAGGAAAGCAGGTCGCAACCTCGCTGTGCGCCAACCGAGCTTTAGGCTCTCCATGTGTTGTTTTAAGGACAGTTTACGCGCTCCAGAGTATCAGTGAAGATTCCAACACAGTGCTGTGTCCCGGTCTGCAGGCAATATGGATACACTGACAAATTCGGATGGAAGGGACCGTCCGCTGCCGCGACCGTTCGGCTAACCTCACGAATTCGCATGCATTTGCTTAATGAGGATAATATATTGAATCTGCATTATACTGCTTTCCGTTTTCTTTACTATTGCTGTTAGTCAGGTATACGTCTGATGCGGATAAACGAGCGTCGGTTTTACCTGACGGATCCGTTGCCTTTCGGCCGGCCTCACAATTTTGCATGCAGTTGCTTCGTACACTACGTTGTTATTTCACAGCACACTTATTGAATGTTGCCCGGTAGACAGATAGCATTGGCGAGGCTAAACGAGCAGTCGAATTCCCGTATCAGTCCTACGCACATTTTCTACACTTTAACAATAAACGCGCGAAAAAAAAAAGAACTCATTTCGCAGGAGCGTTTTTTTTACCTTTTTTTTTTTTTTTTTGTTACTGAGGCATCCACTAACACCATGTTACTTTATGCTTCGATGCAGAATTGGGACAGCACCGCATGAGGTTCCCCTTGAGGGCATCTTTTTAAGCAAGTTTGCAACTTGCAGACACATCATGATTTGTCATCATCTCACCATCTTTGTTTTCAGGTTTCATACCTAGCAAGCTAGCTAGCAAGGTTACTTTCCCAGCCGGCGGCGGGAACAGCCGCGTTACTTCATTTGCCCAGCCACTTTTCTACGCAGAGCCAGCGGGCCGAAGAAAAAAAACATTCCTTCACCATGGAGAGCGGGCACACTGTTGCCCGTGCCGCACAGAGTTGTCACACTTTTGAAAGGGGTCTATTATGACTAGCAGCAAGTAATTTAATACCGCCCATTACCAGATGAGCGTCTGCAAGTAACTTGCCTGAAAGGTCCACAGTGCCATGAAGGTTCTAACCAAACCATCGCATAGCCTACTGGAAGAGTGCACACAAAGAGCATGATGAGCAGCAGCATAAAGTAGAAGTTGTTGGAACCGGATGCCTTGAAGACTGTCTCGTGCGGGATGTTGCACGTGAGAACGGCCCAGCTTCGCACGTACATCATGATACACAGTTTCACCGTGTTAATGGCAGGCAAGCCAGGCGAGAAGAACATGCCCATCCTGCAGCAGAGAACGTCGTTGGGTCCATTTTCCGCGATATGTCCATCTGGCGCGGTTAGTCCTAAACCTCAGCTGAAACGAGGAACCGTAATCCAACAATATGCGATGATGCAAACGAGCCGGTCAAGTCGTATCAAAATAATCCCGTCACCTGTGCGTATAGAACGTTGGCAAAAGAGAGCCGCAGGCATTGCACCGTCTCCTTGCTTCGCTGGTTCATGTTCAACGCTCATCTTGTTTTTTTTTGTAAGCAGTGAGAGAGTGCAGGCGAGCTGGTAATCAATCGACATCTTGTAAACCCTGAGATGGGGAACGATAAAAAAACGGACGAACACAGCAAAATATGTTGTGTTCGTCCGTTTTTTTATCGTTCCCCATCTCAGGGTTTACAAAGTGTCGATTGTTTTTTTTTTTTTTGTTTTTTTCAAAGCTGCAGCCGCTGAACGGTCTTGAAGTTCTCAGTTCGCATGTGTGGTTCGCAACTGCAGACACTGCAGCTAACTGATCTCGCCATGGAATTAGTTTTGTAGTTCTTTTCCTGTGGATTGGTCTTGGCTTACATTTTATCCCTTTAATATTAATAATTCCAATGAGTCAGTTCTGTTAGCTGTGGTAGACGGTAAGCATTATAGATTGTACTTGATTTGAAAAACGCGACTGCTCTAATGGCATTATGTCATCACCGATTATATTTTAGCCTTTAACATTTGGAAGCTTAGAACACGCTAAAACCAACGAATCTTCTGGAAACAGGTCGATTAGGCACATATCATAAGCAAACGATTTTACGAACTTCAATCATTACTTTATTTTATTATCCTGAGGTCTATCTTCAATCATCTTAAAATCTTGAAGGGAGTTCACGGTTGAGTTCACCCTATGAGGACAACATCTACTCGAGTTTGGCGTAGTTAATTAGCCTCCAGCCTTTTGCTACGCCTAATAAAAACAAACACTGCCTTTGTCATGCCCGGCTTCGTTTTTGGGGTTATTGTTGGTTAAATAATTGCGATTAAAACTAACCTAATATTTCGTTTGGTCGTTTTGTCCAATTAATAATTCTGTAAAGACACCGAACGCTATTTTAAAGAGATTTAATTTACTGCAAAATTTGTTAATGCACTCTTGTCTACACGTTCATGTATCGATGCACCACTGATTATTGTCATTGATTTATTCGACCCATTCTTTATGTAAAAATGTCATCGTTTATGAAAAGAATAAACGTTGTATGCATATCAGATATTTTCGTGCCAGATTCTCAGAAAGTGATCAGCCTGTAAGCAGTTGTCTTCAAAACAATCATCATGAGGATCCTCACCTTCGATTCCGCTGAGGATTTACTCGATCAAACGCTTTTTTTTTTTTCAAACGAATTTCTCATTTAGTCCGTGATAAATTATCTTGAACCAACATACAAACGTTTCTTTCTTTTTTCAATTTATGCAGTCCTGATTTTAAGTAACAAATCTTCATGAGATCCCGATAGCTTTCCGAACACCTCTATGTGTTTAGAATATAACGATACTTTTCCATTTGAAATAAAAATCGATCATGGTTTATGTTACAAATAAAGCTATGTGCCGTGATATAAAGTAACAAAGACATGTAGACATTTTACAGTCGTGTGACCATCAGCGTTTGTCTTTATTTTTTTTTATTTCCAATGTTTTATTATAATTAGAACAATTTTCGCAGCAAGTGGGTAGGAACGCTTGCTTGTTTAAAATTTGAATTATGACTTTAAAAAAAATATACTCACCAAACCATGCCTTGATTGTTCACCAAATGAAGAATATTCTCGGCAATTTTAAAATCCCCGTATCCAGGCTAAAACAAAATATAATTTTACGTTTGAAAACCACTCCTTAAATGCGCCTACCTACGCCGTCTGGTATTTCTAATCAGCATGATTTTGTAAAGTTTGCAGTATAAGTGTTTGAAGAATTTATTTGCCAATAATGGCTGCCAATACAACGTGATCAGCTACTCAAACAATACACTTTAAACTTACATCGATAGTAACCGCAAGATCTAGCACAAACTATACGACACAAATATTCGAAGTTCTTTTTCTACGGATAAAGAATTACAGTTGTTTATGTGAGAGTTTTGGAAAGAAGGACCGTTACGCATTTCTGGTGTTTATTTTTTATGTGCGAAAGCGATTCAATCTAGGGGGCTCAATTGCACAATCATCATTTATCTGAAATAGCAGGGTTAACATTTATATATATATATATATCTTACTTACAAAGCCCTGTTCTAGATCCCAACACCAACAATCGTTTGCGTATCGCACAATCAGTGCACGAATGAAGTCAGTGATGAGAGTTGAAGCAATCGTCATCACGAGGTCCATGATTGTCAATTTAACAATCTCCTGTAAATGAAAGCAAACAAAACTGTTAATGATTACGCTTTCAGTTTTTATGCGTCGCGACATCTAAACCACTGCGCATCCGACTATTCGCAGCCTTCGGTAACAAAGCAAGAGCAGAATAATTGCATTGTCTTTATTTTAGCGCCCTAGCACACGCTAACAAAGACGTGATTTTATTACCATACTTTCATTGATTGCTTTACCATTGTTCCTATTATTGGCATTACTTTCTAAATTAGAAGAACCGAATATCATCCTAAGCATAATTATTAAAACGTTAGTAACTCCTCACACATGGACAGTGTGAGCTAAATGCTGGATTTTACTATAACGTAGCTCAAACAAAGCCACTTTGGTTTGTGATCGGCGGACAATAAGATTTGAGGGTGCTGGGTCATTCCATGTGAAACGTCCCAGACGTTGCGCTCGACCACCTCCGATTTCTCAAAAAAAATTCATGGGCTTCGGCCACAATGTCCGTAGCCATACCCTAAAATAGTTTTGACGAAAAAAAATTTGTGATGACGTGAGCGCGATTTTAATTTTTGAAAACAGCGTGAAACTAGGCATCACTCAATAATTTACGAAAAATCAGCTTTTTTATGAAACACCCGACAATATTTTTTTCTTAAATTTGCACGGTTGTCGGCTTACAATATGGTTGAGGTTGTGCAGTTTTGTTTAATTTATATATTTCTAAATAATGCATCATTTTATTCAAAAATAAACATTTTTGTTATTTTATTAAAAAAATATATAATTGCTCCCGGGACCTAATATAACTGTTTAATGGTTGCGCTCTAGGTATAAAACCTATAAAAATATTTTAAACCGCTGAATTAAACACCTTGCAGTAAAACAAAAATCCTGAAGTTGCCAAAAAGTGCGTTTTGACGCATAAACAGACGTTTATTCCACCCTGAGGTGGTCCAAGTAAAAATACAAAATATGGTGGGTTTGGAAGAACGATTGATCGTCTTTTGATTCTGAAAGATTAATCAGAGTAATTTTGTTTAAAGCGAGAAAACAATTTTTGAAGTTGAACTCTCGCACCACTACCCGGCGTCGCTTCTTAACGCCTCTTCCCCGCACAGCACGCCACCTGCGACGATAGCCGAAGCGATTAGGTCCAAAGAAACAACGGAGTTTGCTGCCCGCTTCCCCTCGTCCCTCTTTTCTGGCTGTAAGGGAAGAAACGGCGGGTATCGTGTACTAATCGGAGGTGCCACCAGTGCGTCGCCATAGCAGGCCCGTTGTGCCCTTTTTACCCGAGGGCGGCTCCTCACACTCCGAAACGCGATGCCTAATCGACGGGCCGCATCAGCTGACTTGGACTTCTTCATGCCATGCCAAAGGTCCCACGGCGACCTCCGATTCCTAAAATAAAATTAATGGTTCTTCACCATAATGTTTGTGGTGCTTCTCTAAAATATTTTTGACGAAAAACAAATTTCATGGGGTGATGGCGGTTTGAACTCGTAAAAAAGGAGTGAAACTAGGAGTCACTTATTAATTGATGAAAATTAAGATATTTTTATAGAACAGTGGACTATTTGTATTCCTAAAAACCACATGGTATTTTGATTGTTGTGTAATAAGGATCATGGATATTCGCTTGAAGCAATTTTTTTTTTTTTTAAGTTAATATATGAGAACTTTAGCCTTTTTGAGTTTGGTTACAAGCTATCTCGTTGCTGCAGGTGATTAAACATCTTATTGGCAACCCTATGAATATTATGCACAAAAAAAAGTTTCGGGCCGTACAACTAAATATCTTGCGGAAAAAAACAACTTAATTTGTGCAAAATGTCGTTCTGCCGTTTAAAGAGCCGTCAATTCTGCCTTGAGGTGGCCGAAAACAAAAAGCGAAACATGATGACTTTTACAGAAGAGTTTATTGCCCTTGAATGTTTAATTAAACTAATTTTGTTCTAAATACGAAAAAAAGAAACATTTTGAAGTTTAGCTCTTACGTCGCAACCTGGTGTCGTTTCTCGTACGTGCGTCTTCTCTGCACAGCACGGACACGTGCCTTTGTTTATTCATTATTTCCAATGGGTCATGTAAAGATTCCCGCACTGACAATATGAACCGAAAATAATGCCAGAAGCGCAATCTTGGCTTGTGACGATGCTTCAAGCGTCCGAGTTAACATACTGAATCAGCGCGTTTCAGAGCTTTTGTCACTCGCCTGTCGCCTTCATTTCGCTCCAACTAAGCGCGAACCGGATCATAGTTCCGCTTTTCACCGCAGCATGCGTGGCGTCTAGATTTCGCGGCGATATTATCGTGTTTCAGACTTCCACGTCAGCTGATGCCGCCCGTCGATTAGGCATCGCGTTTCGGAGTGTGAGGAGCCGCCCTCGGGTACAAAGGGCACAACGTGCCTGCTATGGCGACGCACTGGTGGCACCTCCGATTAGTACACGATACCCGCCGTTTCTTCCCTTACAGCCAGAAAAGAGGGACGAGGGGAAGCGGGCAGCAAACTCCGTTGTTTCTTTGGACCTAATCGCTTCGGCTATCGTCGCAGGTGGCGTGCTGTGCGGGGAAGAGGCGTTAAGAAGCGACGCCGGGTAGTGGTGCGAGAGTTCAGCTTCAAAAATTGTTTTCTCGCTTTAAACAAAATTACTCTGAATAATCTTTCAGAATCAAAAGACGATCAATCGTTCTTCCAAACCCATCATATTTTGTATTTTTACTTGGACCACCTCAGGGTGGAATAAACGGCTGTTTATGCGTCAAAACGCACTTTTTGGCAACTTCAGGATTTTTGTTTTACTAACAAGGTGTTTAATTCAGCGGTTTAAAATATTTTTTATAGGTTATATACCTATAGGGCAACCAGTAAACAGTTATATTAGGTCCCGGGAGCAATTATATATTTTTTAATAAAATAACAAAAATGTTTATTTTTGAATAAAATGATGCATTATTTAGAAATATTTAAATTAAACAAAACTGCACAAACTCAACCACATTGTAAGCCGACAACCGTGCAAATTTAAGAAAAAAATATTGTTGGGTATTTCATGAAAAAGCTGATTTTTCGTAAATTATTGAGTGATGCCTAGTTTCACGCTGTTTTCAAAAATTAAAATCGCGCTCACGTCATCACAAATTTTTTTTCGTCAAAACTATTTTAGGGTATGGCTACGGACATTGTGGCCGAAGCCCATGAATTTTTTTTTCGAAATCGGAGGTGGTCGAGCGCAACGTCTGGGACGTTTCACATGGAATGACCCTGCTGCGTTTCTACAAGCACTGCTGGAAACTTTCTAGCAATTCTTTAGAGAGCACTGGCCAAAGATTCACGAGGCGCCACCGCTCCTACCTGACCAAACATTGTCTCCCAGCACAGCTTCCGCAGGCGCTCCTTAGTGTGCTCGTCCACTTTGAGCAGGTCCTCCGGCGTAAGAGGACTCCCCGGTTTCCTCGTGCTTGGTTCTGTTGTGGTCGTGGACGTCTTCGATGTCTCAGACGTCCATGAGGTAAAATCGAACGGCCCATCCGTAACACCATTACAAACAGACACATACACCACGGTGCAGTTGTTGGGATCCAAAGTCGTGGTCCAGTCTGTCCACGTTGGCACAGTAGTTTCGTTAGTGTCCCTCGAAGTGCCCGTCGTCCCTCTCCAACGAGGGAAGAAGGTGTCCCGCGCCGGGTCCTGTTCCTCGTCGGTCACGTTGACAGTCTTCGAATAGTTGTCCACATAAATCACCGGAATCGATATGTTGGTATCTGGGCCCGGCGGAAAACGATACGTCCAGTTGGCTACCCCAATAACTGTGAAGTTGGCGATTCGTAGAAAGATGGCGTCGTACCCCTCCAGAAGGCGACTTGTGGACGAGTCCGTAGTGGTGCCTTCTTCGCTCGATACGGTCGTATCAGTTCCGTTGAGAAAGGGCAGGAGAGTCGTTACGATTTCTTCGAGAACCGTACCATTGGTGACCACTAAACTGTCCGATTGAAGGATGGGCACTAACCCTGCTCGTGTCAAGTTCACACCCAGTTGTAGAAGAAGCGTGCAATTGACGGGAACGATGGTGCAGTTGTTCGTTTGATTGAATGGATTGTAGGCGAAGCTTTGCCCCACTAGCGCTTGTGCTATGGATGCAATAAACGGTTCGGCCGTTGTCGCTGCTAGCAGAGCATCGTCACCTAAAGTTGAGGTGTAGAGTGCGGTGGTGGCGTTCAGCTCAAACGTAGTCGTGTTGGCGATGACCGGATCCAGAAGACCCATGTCCAGCAAATCGGTTATATTTTTCTTCATGCCTACCAGGTCACTTGTCTGCGAAGAAGTTAATAAGAATATGCTTCAAAATGATAAGTGAACGTATGAATTGCTTTTAAAAACAAAACAAAGAAATGCAGCATTTAATGAACAATAAAATAGAAACTTACCATAGTCATTACTTTTCCGAAGAGCGCAAATATGAGAGTATACAAATTCAGCAAATAAAGAACAAGAATTCTGAAAAAAAAAGTTAAGCGAATGGCTTGTAAAGTATGAGTCAATAAACTGACTTAGACAGAAGGGCAGGCTTTGTACTCAAGATTACATGACAGCATACTGCATCTTCGCGACGCTCTTCCAATGCAACAATCCGCGTAATATGGTTAGGAAATCATAACCAGATTCCGAAGGTATCGAAGTCCAGAACACTCGCCCTACGGTCGAAGTAATATTAGAAGTACATGTCACCGTTCATACCCTTCCAACATGGATTAAAATTTAACGCAACGAATTTTGATCTCATGAGCATCTACGCTTACCCTTATTTTCAAACATGCACTAAAAATATTTTACTCAGCATGCTATTTAAGGTTCGTCTTTTCTTGCTGACACTACTGTCAACATTCGTATTTTAGCAATATGCCAAGTGACAATTGTTTTTTATCCTACCCTTTTCTTTACAAAAAAGAAGACATGACGTAATTTGATCTCTTTTGGCTAGATATTTTATCAAATGTTGCATGCCTTAACGTCGTTGCAAATTTTTTTTATCAAAAGAAAAATTAGAAAAGGGCACAACTCTACCTAGTGGAAGTACCGGACTAGTAATATTTTGCCTCGAGCTCGAGAAATGATATTAACCATTAGCATTTCAGTTTTATCCTTCTCATGCGGTCGCTCTAGCTTCAAATAATTAGAATTGAAGATAATCAGATACATTTATCTAATTTATCTCAATACCCCCAGGGCATCGGAGGCAAGGAGCGAAAACGAAAACGAAAAATAGCCAAGTCAAGTTCAAAAATACAGTGAAATCAGGGGAGCATAAGATATTTACAAGACCTATAGGTTATCCAAATTTTAGATGAATCAATCCTACTGACAAAGCATGAACTAATTTATTCTGGTCTATAAAGGCTTCTACTGGTAACCGGTATAACCGTACCGGTCACCCCCATATATAACCGGTTTCCGGTACATGGGTACGAGTCACCCGGTATCGGACACAGGTCACCCGATATTGGATACCGGCCGCCAACAAGGCTTCGGTGGTCGCCTTTAGGGATACAGGTGCCGGTAAACGGATACAGGTAAAAAAAATCATTTAGCTAAGCCGGCGGTACCTTCGTACTGGTACCGGTGTCTATATACGGGTGACCGATATCACGTGCCTGCGGCCTATACCCACCTACCGGTTCCTATAACTAGGGTTCTGCGTTTTCGGACAAAAAAAAATTAAAAAAAACTCATCGGTAAAAATATTTTGAATTAAGAATTATCTAAGAAACTCTTAAATTTAAAACTCAGTTGAAATAAAAAATCTTCTGGGATATAAAGACACTTCCTTTGTCCACGTTTTATTGTTAAGAACACGGGTGGCCAGGCTTACGTAGCCTAAGAGCCGCAAACGCGTCCCATTTCTCTTTCGGGGGAAGTGCTCGTGTGACCGGGAGGTAGACGGGAAAGTTGGCGGGGGGGACTAGGGGAGGGAGCCGCGAGCCGCACTTTAACACGCGAAGAGCCGCATGCGGCTCGCGAGCCGCACCTTGGCCACCCCTGGTTTCGAAGTTCGCCATTTCCCCTTTGCCTTTTTCAAAGCCTTAAAGAAGTATGTCCTCTGAACCCTTATCAAAAAAGGCAGGCGTCCTCCTCACGATCATGGCCGAATTGAAGTCGAACACGTAGCCAGTTCAAGCGGAGGCTTTCCTTCCGGAAACCTTTCTTTCCAAGACCTTCACTGGCCCTCGTGGGACCTCCTTTTGTTGCAGACTGAACCTTTGCCCACGTTCCCCTGTCATCCTCGTTGACGACAGATCTAGTAGTAACTAGACTTCGGTATCATCACATATGTTCGCAATATTGGTTGGCCAATGGAAGTGCAGCCCGTACGGGCTTGTGTGTGTTACAAGTTGTAACAAGAATTCTTTTTCGCCGTAAATGTTCAAAGTATTGACTGAATAAAATTCTATCTGCAGTAACACTGCACTTTATTGCTGCTCTCAAACGTGACCTTATTTGATGCTCAACACCCTGAAATGATAAACTTCCCAAAAACTAAAAATTTCGAGTGTCATAAAAGAATGCTTCCAAAAACTTCGAATTTCGGGAAAAAAATGAACTGCAAAAAACACGTTCCCACATTCGTCGAAAATAAACTCCGAAAATGCAGAACGCTACCTATAACACGGTGCCGGTGAACTGCACCGGCCAGCCGGTATGTCATACAGGTGTACCGATATAGCATTTTAAAACTTCACTTGCCATTCCCTCTACGGGTATCTTAAATTAAATTTCCATTCGCATGGGTTTTTAAACACCCCGATGCGCATACGCTAAACAAAACTAACATTTCTACGATTGTAACCTCTAACAAAATCGCAAGACCTCCCAAAAACAACGCAGTGACGGTGGAAATTTCGGTTTCCCAAGGTTTCCAGACGATGTCAAAAATACTACTTTCATTTAGCGTACACCCGCCGGCAATATGAAGGTGAACGCAGGACCGTCGGCCGCTCCGTGCTATCAGCGTGATCACGCGGCTGCCGTGACGCCTGACTTTCTTATCGCATATGAAGGTGAACGCCGGACCGTCCACCGCTCCGTGCTATCGACGCCACGCTGACAGCAGGGAGCGGTCGACGGCCCGGCGTTCACCTTCATATCGCACACGACTGTATATATACTAGTATCTCTGTAAATTTAAATGCATTGATTCGGGAAAATACTAGGGAGCATAAATATCATTGCGACAAAGATATTTTTTTACGCAAATCAAATTGAATATTCCATCTCCTAGTTTTCTTTTGTTTTTTTTTAATTGTTGGCGCAACCGAACAGGTTTCACCACCAAAGCGCTACGACAAGAAGCCGGATGTCAACGTCGTGACAGGTAAGTCGTGTTATTAGAGTTCGTTTTATACATCTCTAGAGTATATGGGCCTGTGAAATTTAAATATTTTATTTATAAGCGCTTTTAATAAGTACACAAAACTGATTGTCGTTTAGTTTAATATATAATCTGAGTTACCGACCGTTCAGCTCTTTTAGCCGAATGCTCGAGGTTTTCAAACAAAAAAAGACACGTGCCTTGTGCCAATGCTTTTGTACTCCTTGATCATGGCCGTGACTACCTGAGGTTTTTTGTTTTTTTTTTTATTATTAGTGGACGAGGGGGATCTGGTCGACGTGTAAAAGTGTGACAAACTTTTCTAACTTAAAAGCCAAATCAGCACACACACACACACACGCACACACACACACACACACACACACACACATAAAATTATGTTTAGACGCTTTGGAAAGAAAGAACCAGCGTTACAAGTTGAAGACTTTTCTAGGTATTTATGAATGGTTTTGATATCTTGCAGCATACCAAAGTTCGTGGCAGGAAAAGTACGGCTCTGTTTGGAGAATTTGCGCTTTGAAAAACACCAAGGAGACAAGTATTAGGTAAGATTTGGTGTGTTGTACTCCTAAAAATTATTCATAATATATTCATAAAAATTAATTAAATTTTTCCCGCTTTCTCGTTTTATTCTCGTATCACATTTCATTGTTGATAGGCAACTTTTTTATCTGTCGGATGTAGATCACCTTTTAAGCGGGTTCACCTCGGTAGCTTTATGCCATCCTTTGAACAGGCGAACCTCTGTGCATACAGCAAACCTGTAGGCATAGAGTTCCTGTACATATACAGGTCCTGTATGATTACTGTATGTATAGGCGAAGACCATTTCGGCTACAGGTGGTGTATGCCATAAAACCATATGAATTAAAGTGGTTAACCTGTATATTTACCTATACTGCTGTTTTTAGTAGAGGACTGATTACTGTAAACGACTAAATTTTCGCGAGGACGCGAGGAAGTCGTGACAGGACTGAGGTGAGTATTAGCTTGATTAGTCGTTATAAACTGAGACCGAATATTTAAAAACAACATTCAATCAAAGAGAAGAAATTGAGATAAAAGTTAACTTCGCCAAGTTGGAGAAGTGCAAGCTTGCAGAAAACATTGTCGAAAACTTTACTGAAATCAAGGAAAAGAATCAATCTGGAATCACCGATGAAGAATAGAGTGAATCGTTAGTAAAGGACACAAGTTGAGTTTCGCAAGAAGCAGATTTACAAAAACCATGCCGAAAAGGTGAAAAAATAATTAGAATAAAAAATTCTACCATGGTGCGAGTAAATTATGTTCCATAATCTCACAGACATGCTAATTAGAAAGAACGGCCGTTAATTTTGAGAACTATGTTTATCACGTGATTAAAAAAAATGGAGATATAGATATAGCTATCAAGTATCGGCAGGGTGCTACGAAGCTTCGCGGTCATAAAACTAGCTTCCTTCTACAAATTTGCATTTCATTCGAAGTCTTGTAGCTTGATCGGCTTTAATTATACAATCTGATGGGTGATGAATAAAAGAGCAGGTCAGCAAACATCAGTCACATTCATATTATACAGCATTCTGGACTTGTGAAAGTTATTTATTCATTCATTTTATATCTTCTTTGTCCAATGCGAAATGGAAAAAGAAATCTTTCAGAAGCGGGGCTCAAGTTCTATTAGATTGGTAAAAAACAAGAGCTTATTTGTTCAAGAAGAAAGTTATTCACCTTTCAAAATATTAATCCAAAAACTATATTGCCAAGTATGAAGTTGGCAAAAGTGGCACGTTTTTTTTACCTTGCTAGTTGCCATCGCAATTGTATTCTGGGATGGTACTGCTCCATGAGTCCAATAACATCAAAGAGATTCGGATAGACGTTGGAGATCATGGAAACTACTAACGTAACCTGGAATGAGAAGAACATAATCATGCGTCAAGCGATAGGGTTAACACAAGAAAATATTATATAAAACCTTTTTTACTTATCTAGAAAGGGTGTGCTTAAAAAAAAAAGTGTAGATCCGAAGGAATTTGCAACGCTAGAAAACAGTGACCATGAAAAAGAGGAGCAAAGAATAGGAAGACTGATAATGCAGAAAGAAGAAAAAAAGCGAAATATTCGAATAGCATACACCGTAGCAAAAACACACAGTGTAGATGCCAAGTCCTAACAAAACAACTACATACCACACCGACATAATAAATGATTAAATATTATTTATGATCTAGTGCAATCTTTAGCGGCTCAGGTTGTATACAACCCTGTCCTCTTGCCGTGGGTTAGTGACGCTAAGGCGGAAGGCACGTCAAGAAAAGTATGTATTTTGAATGTCTATGACCAGTGCTTGCTGAGTGTCGTTCTCGGTACACTATGATCTAAATCCATACAGAGCACATGTAGCTGGAGTTACTGCAAACAACGGAAGGACTATATACCTTGCTCCAGCATTAGGTCAAAGACGACAAATGCAAAATCACCAGCGGTGAATTACCACGTGCCTCCTTCCTGCTCTCTAAATAGCATCTAAAAGCTATTGGGGCAAGTTCCAGCACTCGCATCTTTAGTGGCCAAGTTGAGAAATAAGTCCAAAGGCAGCAATTTCATGAATTATTTGATAAAATAACAGTAGGTGTGCAGGCTAGCTGGTGATAATAAATAATAATGTAACACCCAAGAATGCAGTGCCGGCAAATTAAAAAAAAAATTAAAAGTGTCTTTATTGTCTCGCACAACAACCTCAGGTGTTACATCGCAATTCGTTGACTATTTGTGTTTTCACGCAAAGTTCGTCCGACACTACCGTACCTAGATTTATCGATCTGATCAGGGCCATGTTGAGTTATCTGAACCACCAATTTAACACGAGTCTCAGCCCAATGCTGAAGTAGCACTTGTTTCCAATCTGTGCCCCAGGCTCCATCAAGGTAGGTGACGTAAACAGTGTTGTGCGTAAGCCTTGTTCACGATTTAACCCGCTATTGCTTTACGCGACTGTTGAGAGCATCTAAAGTGAAGTGTTTTTAGGTGTGTTACGAAAATGAATTAGCAAAAATTTTAGCAGAGCTGTGCCATCAAAATTCGTGTTCAACGTGACAGATACTCTACTGTGGCTTATAAAACATTTACACAGAGCTTATAGAGAACATTACTTGCTCAGGGCATAAATGTTCAAACAGCACGAGACTTTTTTAGAGGACTGACAAAAAGTTGAATACGAAACTCGTATATGGAGACAATTAACCTCAAAACGAACGACAATATGGAAAGAGTGAGGGTTTTTGTGAACGCAGACCGTCGATCGAAGAATGATCAGTAGTGAGTTAAATTTGAATCGCTTTACAGTCATTAAAAATTTTAACCGAGGAATTGAGCATAAAATGTGTGCGCAAAATGGTTCCGACAAACCTCACGACCGAGAGGAAGAGCAATCGGAAAGTTGTGTTTCTTGATTTTCTGAATCATATGAGAGGGAGCCAGAACTCTTCAGCACCGTGATTACGGATGATGCACCTATATTTTCGAGTATAAGCCCCTCTCCCCCCCCCCCCCCCCCTCAAAAAAAAAAAAGCGCCATTGTCGGGTGTGAATCTTCTCAAGAAAGCGAGAATGAACAAACTCCAAATTAAATCAATGCTCATTTGTTGTGTTTTTTTTTGTGTTATTATAAAAAGGGGTTTGTTCACAAGGAATTTGTTTCGCTATTTTTAACTGTCGATCAAACTTTTCATCAGGAAGTCCTTAAAAGGCCCCCAAAAATAGTGTCATATGTACGAACAAGCGCAGCACACACTTGTATGCTGCACCAGAACAACGGCCCATGCATCACGGCAATCTCCACATTATGTTTTTGCCAGAAAAACATTCGTGGGGTTCCCCAGCCTCCTGAGTTGCCCGATCTCAGATTTCGTTAATACTATCCTTTCCACTGGTTCAAAAACCACCTGGAGACACCATATTGGCACTTTGAACAACATCTAGAAGAGCGCAAACGACGAGATAATACGTATTTCAGCAGAAGCCTACCAGCACTCTTACGAACACTGGAAACAACGCTTCACTCGGTGTGTAACTCTCTACGGAAACTACTTTGAATGGGATAACCTGGAGGTATAGAACGATGAAATGCATGGTTAAAAAATTAGTCTCTTTACTTTCCTGCGACAACTTGTACGAGAGTTCCATTCGGGCTCTGGTCGGGTTCGGGTCATCTGATCACTAACTGCATCAGGCTCCTCTGAGGCTGAATTTCAGTGCTCAGGAAACAACGACCAAAAGTCGACACTAATAAAAACGTGATTTTAAAAATACCAGAAACCGAGAATAACATCTCTCAACATCAAACTTAGTGCGAATGATGTGCAAGTTCAATGCCGTTTATTTCTTCCAGTTATAAAATTGATCACCTAAACTCTTTTTTATTTAGAAACTTCGAACATTTCTAAGGTAAAATATATACTGTATCATGCATATACAGATGCTGTTCTTTTTTTCTTTTTAAAAAGTAGTAAAGTTTTATTTACCCCACCAGCCTCCCGCCATATATGTGATTATAATAGAAACATTGCTTTTCAGAGCAAATGATATATGGCTTGGTAAATATTTTCCTAAAACTCCTAACACAAAATATTCGCCAAACAAAAATGTCTGGTTGGATGAGGTCTGTGTCACGATCAAGAATTAAACTTGGAAAAAAAATGTCGGGTTGGGCTTGAGTTCGGGTAACAAGTTCCTCCAGTTAGGTCGGGTCAGACCCCAGCCAATCAAATCTCTAATGAAAATATAAATTGACAAGAAGAAATGTTTTCTACTTACGCTTTCTGAATGAAGCAGACTCTAGTAGAACTGAAGCATGCATGTTTCATGCACAGAATAAGAGCTTAGCGCGCATTACTTGGCAATCGCAACGTCAACTTTTGTTACCCGTTCTTCCCGCTCAGACAACGTGCACTTAATAAAGATTTTGTCATAAATACGGGTTGGCGTAATCTAAAATACTTTGTAAGTGACTTAAGCTATAAAAGATTAATTAAACCAGAGACACAATTTTCACCATTAGGTACTAAAGTACGACAAAGCTTTGTGTAAGTATAAAAACGACATACTTCGTTTTGCCTGTACCAACTTGATTCGGCCTCCGGCTCCTGAGATCGTTCAACTACGAGCACTACGGCGTAGGCACTTGAGGCTAGTAAGATGATCACTATGAAGTTGGCCAGTGCTCTGAGGGACATGATTTTCCAGCTGAAAATGAGGGTAGCATTGTGAAAAACCAGAACTTGTGCGTAAGCTTATCCGCGCGTAAGAGACGGATTGGGCATATACCATACCTGTGTACGAACTGTACGAAGTGTTTCACCTTGTATGGTAATAAAAAAAACGTTTTTCTTTTTCGGGATAATGTTATCGACCGCGGCGGACGTCATGTAAAGAATGTATAAAGACGCATCAAAGTAATTGTATAAGATGTAATTTTTTCTTTTAATATTTGCCTTAGCTGACACATTTTAAATTGAAACTTTTTTGCCCCTCGTCAATATATGCCATAGCTGCTGTTATAATATAGACAACTAAATTATCCGTGCTATTATCAGGCCAAGTTAGTACTCGAGAGTTTGGCTTACAAAATTTATAAGGGAAAGCCGTAAGCCGAGCGCCCGAGAATACAGGAGAGTGTGGCGCACTTTTTCTGTGGCCACGTGACAAAGTCCGATCGTAAAGACTTCGTACCATCGCCCACTGAAGAGACTGGTGCCGCTTCCTCGGTGGCACTTCCGCCACTCTTTTGTATTTGGTTAGGACAAACTTTGACGACGTGCTTTTTGACACATCCGAACTATTTCTAGTTGGAATCTGTCAGCAATAGTGAATATATTAAAAGTTAATTAGTGAATTTCAGGTAATTAGGTTGACAATTATCATTCTTCACTCAACCTGACGTCTGCTAAGATCGATAACAATGTCACCAAGAAATAATTTTTTTTTTAATTTTATTGTTCCTCTTTTTATTTATTCTCCGTCGTTGGTAATCGTTGGAAAAAGAGACAGAAACAATTTTAGCCATTCAATACGATGATTCGCAACTTTAGGATATATGTAGTAATGCAATTATTTATTTTCAAAAAATAATCTAAATCGTACTAATTCGTTTAAACGGTTTAAACAAACTTTGTAACTGGTAGTCGAGCAAAGGTTTTTCTTTTTTTTTTTTGTAGTGAGGGTCTTGACGTATATTAAGAGGGTTCGTTCTTCAAATAAATTAGAACCTGTGTTTGAGCCTAGTTGGTTTGTCCATTTTCGTATTGGATACTAGGAAAGATCTTAGCTCACTCCTAATTGTTCGGAATCATCTCTATATTGCACAAGAAGATTTGAAGAATTTAAGGTGCATTTTTTAATCTAGGAATGGGGACGGCATCAGAGGTGCGTCGCCATGGAGTTTTGTCCGTTTCGTGCTCACAACGTCCTCAGAGTGCTCAAGAACTACAGATAATAACGTGGTAACATGGAGCCCGCCAGTACGTACCTTCTTTCTTCTTTTTTTCTTTCCTTCTCCTCTAGGATGGCTTCCTGACCAATATAGAGGAGAAAAAAAAAACAGTAGAGAGAAATTGTTTTTTCGAGGTGGAAAGGTAACGCTTGAATGGGAACGGATATCACACAAGCGCTCTTATCTGTCTACCTTCTCGTCCTTGTATTTTTGCGCTTCTTTAGATGATCATGAACCAACTGGCCCAAATTGATTTACTAATTCGGATAATTTTATAATTCTCACAAACTGTTCAGTGGTAAGCAATCACAATAAAACCAGCGATAAATTGTCACAATATATGTTGTTCGCCCGAAAAAGCTACATTTGATCTTCAGCTTAATAATCTGTGTGTCTGCGCTCTATTTCCACGAAAACATTTTGTAACGTTGCCAAATGCTCTTTTTTTTTTTTTGGGGGGGGGGGGGGGGGGGGGGTAGGGGAGCTTGGCCTCTTAATGCACAGTCATCTTCCTTTTTAACGTCACCTCTTATCATCTTTTAATTCTACACTACGCTAGCTCGCCTTTTTTTTACTTATGGCCGTTAGCCGCTCATTGTGTAGGGAGTAAAATGTTCTCGAAGGGGGAGGGGGGGGGGGGGGGGGGGGGCTCCGGGCATGTGCTAACAATCTCAAATGAATTATGACCGTGCATAAATAGAACCAGGTCATACACAGCGGCATTTCGTTCGGCGACCGCCCACTGTAGTTGTCAGCCTTGCGGCTTCAAGTTACTTTTTCTTGTGGGGCACAGCTTTGCCCAATAAACAGTTCTTTTTCTGAATTGTCCCCGTCACATCGCGCGTACCGTTACCCCCGTGTGACATCTGATGGAGAGGGGGGTGGGGTTACTGACGCCGATGCACCGGAGACGCCCAGGGAGCCTGCGTGGAAGCCCGTAACCTGGTCCATTCAACGGGAAAAGTTGGTGCAATTAAGGACTCGTACGTGAGTTCCGCCCCCTGCCCGAAAAGACCAGGATATCGTCCGATGCTTCGGAGACACCCGCCACTGTCGTCCTTGAGCGGCACGGAGAGCCACCGGTCTTTCGTTACTCCTCTTGCGGAGACCCAGAAGAATGGCTTGAGCAATTCGAACGAGTTGCTACGTTCAACCAGTGGACTAACCAAGGCAAGATTTGACATGTTTTTTTCGCTCTTGAAGATTCGACGAGGACGTGGTATAAAACCAGGGAGAGCTCGCTGGCCTCATGGGCCGCGTTTACAGAAGGGTTTCTGAAGACCTTTTCGCCTGCCATGCAAAAAGAACGAGCTCAACTGCTCCTGCACCCTCGTGCGCAGCATCCTAACGAGACCGTCGTTGTCTTTGTCAACGAAATCAAGCAGCTTTTTTGACGCACCGGTTTTGACATGTTTTAAGAAAATAAATTGGGAGACCTTATCAGAGGGGTGAAATAATAACTGTTCGCCGGACTCGGTTGTAATCCACCTTCGACCGTCGCCGAGCTTGTCTCTAAGGCTAAGACAATATAAAAAACGCTTGACATCCGAGCAAGACAATACGAACGCGCTGAAGTCCCGACGACGCGCTACGCCGACATAAGCGGTTCCAGCATCGACATTCTACGGGTCACGATACGTACCGCTGTTCGAGAAAATCTATACGAAGGTTCTTTCCAACAACACAGCCCCAAGACTCTTCACTTACGGGCGTAATCAAAGGGGAAATCTAGCAAGAACGAGGTACAGTGGAGACGCGGGAGGTTGTGCACCAGCCAGAAGTGATGGCGTACGGTGCTGCTGTTCATACGCCTGTCTAAAGCCACCGCATTATAACCTCTCCGTGAATCACTAAATCGCCAGCACCTCGACGTCTACCGTCATTCCCCACCCGGAACTTCCAATACTACATCTCGAGAAAAACTGACGTTTGGCGTACCTAGGACCGACCACCCCTCTGTTAGCATTGCAAGGAACCGGGTCAAATCGTCCGCCGAGGCGCATACAAATCAGCTTGGCCTTCGTGGCATCGCCGTGGACGCGCCGCGACCTCAGCCGGGTCAGCGACCAAGAGACATTCAGGAATACCTACACCAGACGACGCCTGAGCCAACGTACTTCTACCGGTCACCATTGCCGTCAGAAAGGCCTTCGTCTTTGCCGCATCCATCGCACACCGCTGTGACGCGTGGGAGATCGCCAAGCCCCGTACGGGGAACTAAAAGCAGAAACTTCTGGAGGTGGAGTTGCAGCCCGACGAAGCTACGAAGATACTGCAAGGTCGGGACGCTGCGATATAGCCGAGACAACGCACCGTAGCATTGATAACCCAAAGAACCTCAAAACCGCCGCGACAACACGACCTAGCCGCGACCCGAAAAAGCGAGGCAACTGCTATGCGACGCCTACAACTGCCGACCTACCAGTTCTGATTGACGGCCATGTGGTCAACGCCCTAGTGGACACTGGTGCCGACTACTCGGTACTAAGCGGTGAATTGGCGGCTTCACTAAAGAAGGTTATGACAACATGGGACGTGCCCCAGGTTTGGACAGAAGGGGGCACCTAACACCACCGGACGGAATGTGCACGTCGAGAACTGCCATTGTTGGTCACATGTACCTTGGAAGGTTCGTCGCATTGCCACAGTGCTCACGTGACATGATCCTGGCCATGAAGTTTCTAACTGCGCACGGCGCAGTAGTTGATCTCCAGTCCATATCTGTCACATCCTCAACCGAGAAAACTGTTCCACAATTACGTGTTTACCAGCGGCCTGTGGAGTTGCGGACTACCGACGAGTACCAGCATCCCTTCTCGCTCCACTGTCATGGTGTTCATTTGTGCCAACACATAAGAAAGAACGGAGGGCCTGCTCGAAAGCCAGACGCCTTTGCAGCTTGACCGCGCCCTCGCCGTGGCAAAAGGCATTGTGCATCTCAAGCAAGGACAAAGGAATGTGCTACTGACCAACTTCTGTGCTCAGTACAGGTGAATCAATAAGGGCACAACAGTTGCTTTCGTAAAGGAAATCGATGAGATAAGCAATGCCTTAGCTATTTCACACGCACCGTCAGCGGATAATCAGCGAACAGCCGAACATACCTTCGACCTTAACCCTGCACTGCCCAGTCATCAACAAGAGCAAATACATATTCTCCTTCGCAAGAACAAATAGTGATTTTCGCCGTTATCAAAGATCCGCCAAACACCAGTACCTAGGCATCGGATCGTAATCAACGAAGGCATGCGACCTCTTCAGCAACCCCCTACCGAGTCCTTCCCTAAGAACGCGACGCCACCCGTGAGCAAGTCGACGAAATGCTCGGCGATGACATCATTCAACCATCCAGGAGCCCACGGGCGTCATCTGTCGTCCTTGTGAAGAAAAAAGTCGGTACCCTTAGATTCTGCATCGATTATCGTCGCTTAAAAAACACAGCAAACAAGACGCATATCCCGTCCCCCGGAGCCGCCTCGGTGGCTCCGAGGCGAGAGCGCCGGCCTACGGATCCCCAGGTGGCGGGTTCGAATCCCGACCGAGGTGCCCGCGATATGACGGAGGCTTATTGCGGAGAAGGCGCCGTGTAACCGAGCTTTCGGTTGCACGTCAAAAGATCCCCAGGTGGTTGAAAATTAATCCTCAGTCCTCCACTGGGGCGTGCCAGATGCCCGTCGTAGGTTTGGCACGTAAAACCCCCAAATTTGACTTTGTCCCCTCCCCCGGATATATGATACACTCGACCGACTCTGACATGCTAGATATTTTTCATCTATGTAGCTACAAGCGGCTATTGGCAAATCGAAGTCGACGAAAGTGACAGGGAAAAGATTGCCTTCGTCACGCCAGACGGCCTCTACAAATTTAAATCATGCCATTTGGACTTTGCTATGCACCATCCACAATCCAGAGTCATGGACACTATGATAGAAGACCAGAAGTGGCAAACTTGTCATGTTTACTTAGACAATGGGGTCGTGTTTGCGGCAAACTTCCACGAGCATCTCAGGCGGCTCGAGACGGTACTAGATGCGATCAAAACCTCCGGGCTGACCTTGAAGCCAGATAACTGCGACGAAGCCTACGAGGAGCTCCTATTTCTTGGGCCTATTATTAGCGGGAAGCGAGTACGCCCGGACCCGCAGAAGACAGCAGCCATCGCCAACTTCCCTCGGCCCGTGAATAAGAAGGCGCTTCGAAGATTCCTAGGCCTGTGCGCTTACTACCGGCGTTTTGTTAAAGCCTTCTCGCGAATTGCTGAACCGCGGACACGTCTCACGACGGCCGATGCCTCGTTCACATGGGACGCGCCGCAAAAAATAATTAATATTCAACGTGCTTCAACGCCGACTGCAGTCACCGCCAATTCTTGGACAATTCGACCAGGACGTTGAGACCGAAGCTCACACGACGGGAGCAGCGTAGGCCTTAGAGCTGTGCGTGTTCAGAAGACGAACGCCCTGGAAAAACTCATCGCCTACGCCTGCTACTCACTGTTAAAGGCAGACGCCAACTATTCAACGACAGAGAAAGAATGCCCGGCCATCATGTGGGTAGCCTCGCAGTTCCGCCCTTATTTATATGGCCCGCCCTGCAAGGTCGTCACCGATCATCGCGCTCTGTGTTGGCTCGCCAAACTGAAATACCCTTCCGGTCGACTTGCTTGTTAGAGCTTGAGATTACAGGAGATCGACGTCACCCTCGTCTATAAGTCTGGCCGCAAGCACTTCGACGCCGACTGTCTATCAGGTGCTCTTGTCGACCCGTCCTTGCACAGCGGACACGACGAAGACGCTTTCCTTTGAACAAACAGCGAAAGTACTTTCAGCCGGGAACAACGAGCTAATGTGGAACTAAGAAGCATCATCGAATACCTGGGCGGGAAGGCTAGTTCAGTGCCAAGAGTATTCCAGCGCGGGCTATCTTCGTACAGCTTGCGCAACGACGTTTTCGTTAAGAAATGTTTGCCGCAGCGGGCCCCATGTATTTTAGTCGTGCCATCCAATGTACGCGAAGGAATTTTGCACGCCTCCCAGGACGAACCAGCTTCAGGACATCTTGAGATTTCTCGCACACTTGT